GTTCGAATTCTAGATATCGATCCGAAGGCCCCAGAGATAATCGATGTGCACGCGACTGCCTCAGCAACACACGTGCGCTTTGCCAAATCGGGGCGTTGGTCGGGTCACCTTGAATACCAGCAAGGCTGAGCGTATTAATTTTGCAAAATTAATCATTTGGAATGGTGGTAATCGGTCTGCGAGGCTTAGTGTCACAGCAGATTTTATTATCGAAGTGTGGACACACGTAGTAGATACATTAGATAAGGGTAAATAGCAATTTGCTTCTTTTGTGTGATGTTTATGCCCACCTCGCTGAAAAAGTTGATGTCAATTTGGATGACAAATGCGGGAATGCCTGTGTGACTGAAAATTTTCCACAGTTCTCGCCGTTTAGATATCTCTTCTGAAAGACTGCGGCATTAAGCGAGAAACTTTGTGCTCTTATAAGCCACTGTTGAAGTGAAGTTTTTAAATATGTCGGGGGAATTTAAAAATAGTAGTTGAAATTAGCAATTAGGATTTGTAGTCACAACTAGTGGTTTTTATTGACTTCAGATCAGATTTTGCTTTTAAAAATCGGTTTTTTGGAACATTTCCTGCTTACGTTAATTATCTCTTATGGTATAACGCACAAAAGCAATTGATTTTATTCCGTGATATTACATAGCATACGAAACTTCTTTAATAATCGACAACCAGCAATTTCGTCCAAATCCTGCCTGTTTTCTTTCAATATAAAAGATTGTTTATGCACTTTTCTTTAATAAAAACCGTTCTGAGCCTGGACTCCAGTTAACAAATAAAGAACATGAGCAAATGTATATTAAACTACTCACTCATATTTCAATCACAAGTTAGGCCATCTAGTCATACCTACGGATAACGATGAAATCTATTTATTTCACATTAGCCCTGAGCCTTCAACGGACCTATGCCGTACTTCCCACATTCCAAAAAATTTTGCTTTCAAACTAAATTTGTTACTGCCTACTTTACAGTAACATAGGTATTATTTCGAGTTTCGTCCCTCCTCTGACTCCGTATCCAATACTAACGCGTACGTTAAACCCCAATGATAACAACTATCAGGACAGTACGGTACTATTAAACAAATAGTAAAGGATAAACGAGGTGCAAACACGAAGTCGAGAACAAGGGAGTCGGCCAAATACCGCCCGACTCTAGATGAGGGAACGACACACGTTCAACAAAGCCATACGATTGTAGGGCTGAGCCAGTCTTGGGAGAACGTGCGTGTGTGTTAGTGGGAGATGGGGCGCCCGACGCTTTTATATGACTTCAGGAGGCAGTTCATATGGCATCCAATTGTTGTGAACATTTGGCTCGGAAAGAGACCGTCGTTTACAGTGGCCTAAATTGGGTTGGCCGGGAGGGGGCGGTTTATTCAAGTGGTTCATCGACGAAGGGAAACTGAGTCAAGAGTGGTCAGATCAACCAGGCACAGCAGCTGGTGCCCTAGTTTACTTTCCTCTGTTGGGCTGAGGAGGGAAGGTGGCGGCGGGTTCACAGTCGTAACTGTGTGTATTTGAGTTGATTGGTGCCTTCGCAGTCATTGACTCGGTAGGCTT